ACTTTGCATAAAATATAAAACATTCCGGAAAATAAAAACTTGCTGTTTTGTCTGTCAGATACCGCGGGTCCCCTCCCCACTAATAATCTCGCTCTCACTAGCCTGTAGTCTCATACTGTGGGGATTATCTTTGTGTTCCATATGTGAAGGGATTGACATGACAACTTTTCCCCCGTCATCCTCCCCCGGGGAGGTATCTATTTTCGGACTTTCCCGGTTGAAAGGCTCCGTAATTGTCTAACTGCCTAAATATCAGTGCTATGCTTATGAGACCTCGCGCAAAAACGGTTACAAATGACAAACAACATATTTTTGTCAGGTTGTCTTAAGTTTTTTCTTACTTAAAAAAGTACGGAAGATAAATGCGGTAATATTTCATACCAGGTAAATGGGGAAAACATTATATAGACATGATTTATAATTTTCTCAACAGTATAAAACATATCATAATTTGTAAACACAGATGTTTAGTTCAAGATAAAACACTTAAATACGTATATAAATATATAAATACTTTAAATATTAACAAAACTTAATGTAACTGCATAGACGTTAAAGACAATTATAAGCATCTGCTAGAGAAATAAAACACCTTTATTTAATATAGACGAATGCAATATTTATATATATGTATCCAGCAAGGTAGCATAGACATTATCGAAAAGTCCCCATGTCAGATCTGTAGTGTATCAGCCTTAAGCCTATAGCCTTATCAGCAGGTATTACTGATAGCCATGTTTCTCATCATTACTGAGTTATGGACGTACCTGTACATATGAAATCTGTGCCTGTCATCGCTTTCATCGACAGATTAGTACAAGATTACGGTGAAACCATTACTAGCGGGTAGTTGTCCGATTAAGTCTGGTCGACAGGCCCTCGAACGATCGTGTGTAGCCCCTTATCAATATTACACATGCTCACATAAAAACCAGAATTTTTACCTCAGGGTAGAACATTTTAGCTGTTTTCAACGGTACAATATAGGTAAGGTTATTTAGTTTACAATTACAAAACCAAATCTACTAAGCAATAAATATGATGCGTAAGATTTGCTGTCTTTAATTATTGACATTTCAATTCTAGAATATGATACACAAAAAATAATAAATATGCGTAGCAAAAAATACCTTAATCTATTAAAATATAACAAAAATAGTTGCAATTTTATATAAGATAATCTGTTGAAATATAATCCATTGTTCTTGGTTTATTCCGTTAATTACTGAAAAAAACTGGGTTTCGCATACCACACATATATTTATAAACAAAACAAAATTAAGATTTCTATATCATCTGAACCAGTTAATAAATATATGTTTAGAAATATAAAACGCAAATGACATTTTAAAAGAAACGTCAAATTAAAATTAAAAATAAGATTTGTATATATGGTGAGCCGTATTATCAATTGTAGTATAAGCACACACATGTAAATGAAGTCAAATGACTGTCAAACCTGTGTTGGAAATCAACACTGAACTCCATTACAAATGACTGTCAAACCTGTGTTGGATGACTGTCATACCTGTGTTGGAAATCAACACTGAATACCACTACCAATGTTGATATAAGCATTTACGCTAGTTAAGAACATTTCCCGGTGTCAGAGGGTGGAGAGGGATTTACTGTAATCCGGTTCTAATCTCCTCGCTATTGGGTATTAATTGAGCTTAAAAGTCTCTTGTAAAACTGCTAAATTATAATTTACTTTTAGCTTAGTATGGTCAAGGGGACTCGAGGTGTAAGGCTCTTGACTTCTGGTCGAAGTTACTTCATTACCAAAGCAGTTCACCTGAAGCTTTGATAAAACACATATGGAATATAACTAGTCAAATGATTATTTTGGAGTCTTTTTATGGAAAGAAAAAATTAAAAGTTCTAGATATTCAGTTCTTTTCTCCTGTAGATTTTTTTTTATCATATTCAACTTATCCATGTTTTATGATTTCACGGATTTATTGAACTCCTCTATTGTCTTCAATACATTTGTCTGCTGAACTTAAAGTTATTCTATACAAAAAATATGAATTTATTAACTATTCAATTTGTTAAACCCCATTTTTGTAGATTTCGCATATTAAGTTGTAGACCGACAAAAATGTTTTTTTTTATTTCAATTTGTCTATTGAAGAAAATCTTTTCAGTTAATTGAAAAAACAATGTAGATCATTATAGATTTATATCCTATTTCTTTCATTGAATTACAAAGTATGTAGATAATTTTATACGAAGAAAGGAAAATGAAAATATACATTTAAACTACTTTTAACCACAGTAATGTTATTAGATTATTCAACTCTATATTTGTCAAGCTCTTTCGTGATGTGGTATAAAAGCAGGGTGTCTAAATACAAATTGTTTATACAAACTAACGTACCCTTTAAAACTACGTCCATCAACAGATGTACCCAAAGTTTATCTTCATAACATGCCAAAGTAAATAATTCAAATATTACACGTCTCCTTCGGTGACATGATGTTTTAGTTATGAGGTTTGGGATGTTATACATTTAGCCTTGAGTTAAAATCAACATCCTTACAAAGGCTATTCCGGAATATCCTCACACCGTCCGGCGAACTAGCCACACCTGTAATTATAATTCACCTGCACAATGACACCTACGGTAGCTACACTAATAGAAAACGATAGGTGATCTGATCCCATCTCCTGATAGTGTGATGTCATAACAACTGACCGCAGGCGTGGTCAGCCCCATTTGTCCAGCTCGCGTCCACCATTGTCCGGAGACATCTTTCCTAATCATTCAGTTGTCATGTAACTTCAGTTCTACCCGAGGTATTCCGAACGTATGTGTGTCGGTGTTCCTCCGTTTCGTTTTATATAAAAGAAGTGCGTCCCTCGATTTTGTAACATTATAACATTCTTACAATGTTCCAAAGAATAAAAAGCTGCTTATTTAAATTGAAAGCTTAGATTCATTCAAAACTAGATGGGACTTAAAACGGACTCATGTTCCAATGTGTTGTAATATTGTATAATGACGATGTGTAAAGAATGAAAAGCCAACAGCTCAAGTCAAACTGTATTCATCTATATAAAAGGACAGCAACATAAGGCAACAGACATCTTTGTCAAGACAACAACAAAAAGGCAAAACTTCCCATCAAATCCATGTTTTTTTTAAAATTCATAGCTTAGGCGTTTGATCCCTCAAAATAAAACGGAAGCACGTCTAAGCCTATAGTTATTGAGCCCTACCATGGCAAGAACATCCGAGAAACGAGAGTTTATATGGTACATGTTGCATAAATGAAAAACCGATTAAAAGCAAGCAACATTGGTGTTTCCACAACAATTTACCGAAAAAGAACAAATACATTTTAATATCAAGCAATTTTTCATTGATTTTTATTATTTTTTTATTTTTAACGACTGAATACTTAACCGATATTTAATCTTATTTAGTCATTAAACATCAATAATTTTGTACGTAATATAAGTAGATAACTCCAAAACAGAGATAGTTCTTGACATTTTTTTTCAAACAAATGTTCTCCAGAAGCCACGATGATCAGGTGTTCCGTTCCCTATATAAACAGGAAATCATGTACAAAGCGCTCTGCCTCTCCCTGTATTATTAACAGATCCTTTCAAGAAAGGCGAGTTTAAGTGATTTTCCTTTACCATCAGCTTACAGACCTGACTTAAAATTTCGCAATAAAATGTAATAAAGTTTTCGCGACAAAGGAGAACAAGGACCCTTTTTGACAGAAGAATGAGTTTCATCCTTTTCAGAAAGTTAATATCTTCTTGTTGAAGTTCAAAGTTCAAAGGGAACGAGCTTAGTCCGTCCGGCGCAATATTAGAATCACAAGAAACGACAACAACGCAAAACAACAATATAGCCTTTTCATACTTCAGCTAGATAGTAAAACTCGACAAGGAATCCGCAAATAAATTACTTTCTCTTAAAAAACAAGTCTGACACGACACCTCCTGCCTCTGATCGCGTACTGGATTATGCTTTGCACCAACGCAACGAACCACCGTCTTTAAAATTGTGACTCCATTTTGTCCCATATTCTATGTACAAGAAACGCGATTTCTGTGACTTTTGTATTTAAAACAAGCTTCTTTCGAAATCGAGTTGCCTTATCATAATATATTGAACGAAATTTCATAAAATTAGAATGCCGGTGTTGTTGCTTTTATGTCCATTTAAATGTCATAGTAGAACAAGTACCTGGGTACCATGCACAAGGTCGTTCTTTCTCGTTGTGTTGGAAAGTCCGCGAGAATTTATACGACGGAGAGTTTCCTCTCTCCTTTACGAGAATGACTGCAATGTAGATATATGCAAATCTTCTTGCTCGCTTCTGCCTTGGTTTAATGGGAGATAATTGTGTTTGGATTTCGCGCTGCATTTCACTTGATTCGGGTAGTACTATTTACATACGATCGCCCTGACACCTGGCGTCAATCCGTATGTATCATAATAACTCTTACGTATTGTTTATCTTAAGAAAACAAATGAAAATAACAATAGGCTCATAGGCTCATTGACTTTCTGTTATAATTTGACGTTGTCATATTAGTTGAAAATTACCAGAGTTACATAGTTACGTCGTTTTCTTTTCTTGACCGATGACCACACAAAGGCAGAGTTTGGTATCTCGCTTTTTTTCGTATTAGCTTATCATGACAAATTCATCAAGATAACTATCATATGAAACCGATGCCTGTTACCTGCTGTTAAGACAGCACGGAGTCACAGATAATAACAAGTGTTTCAATATATTTGTTTCGCCTCATATTGTCCGTTCTTCTCTGTCTAAAAAACGTCGCCGTGAACTTGGGCTGCCATGCGAGAGAGCAGTGTCGGTGAGGCGTACTCGTCCGGGGAATGCCGGGGTACTCCACTATAGTGTGTGGGTCGTGATTGACTGTTCCGGGCGAGTGGTCGGGCGAGTTCCCAGCCAATAGTCGCTGTGTGCCTTACATGGTCGTATACAGCAGATATCGTTCACTACTTGAGGTGTCTGTACCACCCATAGTGGAAACTCATACATGTCCGACATTATATAGCATTTTTTTTAAAAATATATATACATACGTATGAAGGCAGTAGACCAATACCTTTACCGTGGATTTATTTTATATGTTTTTGTAGGTATATTATATACGTTAGACTTCAGCTGGGACTTGGCCATGTGTCACTAAACAAAATATACAAATTATTTGCATAAACCTATGGAAGTAGACACACATGTAACAGTTTAAACTCGTGTGGACTATAATCTGTGATACCAGCGGAGAGCAGACGACCAGCTGATCTTTGTTTTTATCCTTTTTTGCCTCTTCACAGACGATTTTGTGTATACATTTCTTTTCACGTGGGGTTCGGCGTACGTAGCTAAAGGATTTGGAATCTTGTGCTCATCAGCTTGTTATTACCTTTACTGTGTTACTATTTTTGCGTGTGAAGTCGTGTATGTGTGGGAAATTTTGAGCAGTTTCGAGTACCGCCCTTTTTAGGGGCTAAAATCATGGCAAGTCACGCAAGCATGGACACTTACAAGGATGAGTAAGGTAAACTATGCTATCTGGACCCCAGTATTGTCCAACTAAAACATGTTATAGTAGTATTAGACCTAGATGGAAGTGGTACGCTGCACTATGTTTGTCTGTCCCCCAAGTTCTCACAAATTCCCCGAAGTACCTCGTTCGGACCGGCTAATTACACCCGAGTTGTACTAGCCTCCCAAAATGGTTCCCGTTCTCCGGATTTAACGCTAAAACACTAGATACTGAAGTGCCATTCGGATTTGTTTTAATGGTCAGATGGTATTATGTTGCCTTGAAAACAGCTTCTTTGGACAATTAAGACCGCAGGGTCATTTCGATAACTATCGTTAATTAATTCCGAAAAAAACCCTGATATGGACTAAGTGATGTTCTTAAGAGCGATATTGTATGGAGAAAACAATTTCTACTACTTGTTTACATGTGTTATTAAGTGTTTGTTTTGTGTTTTGATTTCAGGTTGTGAAGAAAAGACGAAAGGGTGTACTTTTTGGATCTGGTGATATTTTGAGTGAAGTGATTCCGTGATCAGATTTTGTATGTGGATGTTAACCGAAGAAGGGAACTTATGACAACAGTACTGGATGAGAAAGTGATGCCGTCTAAAGGTAAGTTCTCCTATAGTGTTAATTACCATATATAGTCATCAGCAGTAATGATCTTATTTAACTCAATGAATATTAATTAGAATTATTCATATTTTCATTTTTAATCAAGACCGAAATTTAATAATACAAATTCTTTGTTTCACAATTATTCACATTAGACAAAAGAAAAATAGAAATAAAAAATTCCATGACTTTACAATAGGGATAGGGGAAAAATGCATAATTTGACTCCATGTGATATTGGCTCAATTAATTTTGGTTCATCAATCCCTGTCCATTTCTATTACTGATGGCGTACATTGATTATCATACAAAATTGTGTCTCAAATAATTTCAATACATGGAGTATACAATGATTTCTTACTAACTCATCAAGCACTGTGTAAATATTCCAAGACCGAATCGAAAAAATAAAATTACGGTATTACATGTTGGAGAATCGTTTTACAATATCTAAATATAAAAATAAAATATATAATATGATATGTCAGACAATTTTGATACTATAACTCCGTTAATATTTTTGAGAGATTTTTCTTGTCAAGATCCTCCAACAGTTTTGGCTATTATTGTAAAATACAAAATGAGAAAATGGAATAAAAAGCCGTCATTCCGAGCAATACCGTCGGATTTAGTTGGGGATTCTTCGATGTCGAGTTTCACGATCCCGCTGTCGAGTTGTAGTATTGATGTTTTGTTCGTTGATGAAAATGTCCCATTTATGGGCTTATCGTGTCGTGGCGCGAAGTGACCATAGAACGGCCCAAACACAGATGCTTTCTCGATATGCATCAGCTAAGCGCAAACACAGAATTATTTCAAATTGCCTTAAGCCTCAACTGGTGTATGTGACGAAAGTGTAATGAATATCAACTATTTGTCGATCCTTAGGTTTCATCCCTCTCATCTTATTGCGGCGATAAATCAAGGGGAGATACCATCATGTGTAGTAGAGAGAAAATTGGCCCAGAAGTATTGCTGCACATTTTCTCTTTAGGGGTCTAAACAGATTGCAGCCCAACAAAACCAGAAACAAGCAGACATGCTCGAGTCCTGGGTCAAAGGCCGACATTGACACACTAGCTCTTACAGCCCCAAGCATGCTAAGCTTGATATGATAAAATTCGAAATGTAGTCCATATTTTTATTCTGCTCTATTTGACTACCAAAACCACCCAACATTGGAACCAAAATAATCAGTACAACTCAATTCTTCCATATATAGTAGAAATTTTACTCCAAAAAATGAAATAAAAAGTATGTAAGGTCGGTCATGTAGGAACTTTCATTTAAAGCTGGGGAAGAACTTGGGCCTTTGGTTATCTATCTGTGTGCAGTCCGATTATTATTACTACTAAGACCAGCGTAATTATTGCTAAATCTCCTAGTCTTAAGCAAACGGTTCCAATATCGAAACATCTCTGGGTCCTCAACAGCAAATATAACAGAGATTTACACCAGGACATTGGCGTTGTTTGTGGTGGGAGATATTCAGGAAATAATTGACAGACAACAACATGTTTGTGGTTTCTATTTTCAATTCCATGTCGTCTATATTTTTGTAAGTGACTGTCGACTGTCTAAAATATGGGATAAACTTGGGTAATAAACAAACAAAAGTTATACAAAAATATTGTTGGTAGAAAACCCTGGATTTTTATTACGTATCTAAATTTTAAAATTTATTTGCCAAAATTTAATATTTTCTATACAAACTTTTCAAAAATTATTCTTTTGAAAATCACTCTGAATTTCAATATCGCGATTCAGTTATATGCACATTTATTCTCATTTGATAAATTAGTTCACACTTAAATATTTTATTATTTTCACGTTTCTGCATGTCTGCCTTTAATAATATGCAAAAATCTAATTAAAATTATGTATGCATACATTAAAAATGGACCAGGTTTCATCGCGTTTTGATGCTTCTTTTGTATTTAATTTCTATTGAGTGTGAAAACATACTCAAATGACATTTTAATATTTTGTCATAAACGAGACAAATCGTGTTAGAGAATTCAACATATACTCTTCAAGTCTGAAATTTTACGACTCTGGGATTGATAAAAAAATAACTTAACACGAATTGTCAGGTACGAGAGGAGATTTAATGGTCAACGTGGAGTTTATATAGAGGACTGAAACCTCAGCATGACCACCACAATTAATCTTGCCTGTTTTTAATGGATGAAAACATTGTAGTTATGACAAAAAGGAAGAGTTATCACAGGGACCACTCGTCAGAACGAGCTAACGTTGAAAGCCTATTTTCTGTGTAAGGCAAGCGGAAATACCTGTGTTTACATCAGCTTACCTGACAAGGTGTCTGTTATAATTTGCTCAAGGGTCAAAGGTCAGAGAAATTTCTCTTTCATGACGAGAAATGTATTAAGTGAATCTGTCAAAAATAACTAACGAAACAGCTTTTCTCTAAATGATCACATGTACCTTACACAGTACAAACTGAATTTTTAAAAAATCAAAACGAATTTGCTCTTTAAATTACATAATTGTTAATACTCAATTATATAGGGATTTAATGTATATTTCTGACAGAGGATAGGAAAGCAAAACAGTTTATACAAAGCAAACATCACGCAATATATTGAAAGGTTGTTTTGATCTGTTCCGGCGAATGATGCAGCAGATATACATGCATATATATGATTTTGTATTTACGTTAGGAAAACATAGCTTAAAAGTCCACGTAAACTGTAATGTTATTTGACACAGCTTTAATATTGATGGGTTTTTAGGATGGGTATATTATTGACAGCCATTCATAGTTACTTCAATATAGTTAGGAAATAAAAGCAGTGCTCTTCCTAAATGGACTGAAATCCAATATAGCGCATGCTTTTTAATCATTTGTACGGAGTATTTCAACCGTACACAGCATGTCACTGACATAGGCTTGGACTAGGTACACAGTTGTAAGCACGTTAGGCATAGTAGGACGACCAGCTTGTTTTGTTATTTTTTTTCATATACAGGGAGCCTGTCTAATATGACATTCTATGGGGAGCAACATGTTTTTGGTTTGATTAACCTCTCGAATGCGATATATTAGTTATCTAAACCTGATTAATCCGACACCCTGTGGGAAACAACTATAAATTGGTTACGTTAGCCTGTGTAATACGACATCCTATGGGGCACAACCTCTCTAATACGATGTAAACCTGATTAATCCGACACCCTGTGGGAAACAACTATATATTGGTTACGTAAGCCTGTGTAATAAGACATCTTATGTGGCACAATCTCTCTAATACGATGTAAACCTTATTAATCTGACCCCTCGTGTGACATAACGTCTTGGTATGGTTAGCCTGTCTAAATCGACATCCTATGGAGCACACCGATCTATTGGTTACGTAAGCCTGTCTCATCCGACACTAGTGGGAAACTCTATATTGTTTAGATTAAACAGTATATCGGAATTCATAGGTATTATTGGTGGATAATATCTATTCTAAAACGTTTTGTAACCGACTTGAGTAGAAAGATACTTATTAAGTTGAAGTAAGTAGCTTTCATTAGAAATGGAATTACATCATAGTTGTGAATTTTACAGATGTCAGAATATTCAGAGATCGCATTACACAGGTTTCAATGTATGTCGAATATGGAACAATATCATCAAACTATATTTAAGAGATTTAAACTAACGAACAATGTTGTGTCAATCAAAAAATTACCATTTCAAAATCTGACAATCCCTTACGCCAATATCAAGAAAAAAAATATTCGGAGTATTCAAAACAACACTAAAATTAAGTGTTGAAAAAAACTAAGGGAAGACAGTTTGAGCTTAACAACAACTTCATTCGCCAGCCAAATGTAACCATTGTAACTTTGCTTAAATTAAGATAACATATAAGCTAAACTGCATTAACCGGTTTTTAGTTTTTTAATTAATTTTATTGCAACAAAAGGAATCTTACACGGACAAAGGTTTGAAAAATTCATTCACGTCATTTCCGGAATAGCTCAATCATACGAAAACCGGATGTATAATGTTAGAGGTAGCGTAGATGACGAAACAAAAGACTATATTGTCGACAAACTTTGAATAACTCGATATGATTACTATTTCTCACGAATAGCATGTTGTATATTCTCCAAACTAAACCGGAAGTATCCTTTTAAAAGAAAATATGTTGTTTTGTTCCTCAGACGACGAATCAGTGGGTTCTGTTGGCAGTCCCGGAAGTACAAGCAATGGCGCCACCAACGTGACGAAGAAGCACCGGACAAAACGAGGTTAGGTTTCCTTTCACTTTCAAACGTATCCCTATTACTGCGCACAATTAACTTAGGAGGATTAAATCATCTTTAAGGCGTATAACACTGAGCTCCATTTCACCATGAATGCTGTCCCGTTCCACACCTAAATAGCATTTTACAATAAGCAGACTATATGAACATATGGCGCCCACAAATTAATGGTTGTCCCTGTTTGTCCAACTTTAATTGCAAATCATGGTTCAAAATGATGACATTTTCTTCTTTTTCTATTCCATTATTATAAGCCATATCATACTCAATAGCCACTCACAGAACGATTTCATGTCGTTTCCTTTGTTTAGATAAAATATCACGTTAATACAAAGATATAGAGCCTTAATTATAGTTAGGCGGGATTAAGCCGTATTATTTATCGCCGATATCTACACGCAGGATTGATGTAACGTATTCAAATATCCTTGTCGCGGGTTTCTTTAATGGTCCTCTCTGCTCTGCTCCAATAAAATAAATCGCCGATGAGTTCTATCGGCGTATCGACCGGACTCTGCGTTGTATGATAACCATTCTATCCCACTCATTGATCCTGGATCTCCGGTAGTTCGTCGGAGTAGCGCCTCTCAATCCCGAACAGAAATCAGAGATGTAATTGCTTGTTGAAGGGTTCTCTGACGAAGGACCGCGACGACTAATTCGCATGTATGCCAATTTCTTCAACTGTTTTATTAGGGTCTTGTCACTCAACCCTGGAAATCTACATGTTAAAACATGCAATCAAGTGCTGTTAATAACGGTTGCAACACCTGAAATTCAACATTTAAGAAATTGATCGGTCTGGAATCAGTTATTATCAGAGAAATGTAATTTTATAAAAAGGAGTCGAAAATGTCAGTTATAACGAGAAATTAAATCATTAGGGTTTTAAGGGTATTGGTCTTTAAGGTGTCAGCACTCTGTCAGCACGGATCGCGGAACGACAACGGAAGTGGGGATCGAGAACGTCTGGGTCAGAAGTAGCTTAAAAAACGTATCCAGGAAAAAACGCGAAAGGATGTCACCTAGTAGATAAGGTCATCTGACATACATGTTGACAACGGAGGGTCGTGAAGTCGGTAAACTGTATAGACAGTGTAGCATGTACCGTAATAAGCCAGATAAACAGTAAACCTCGTTATAATGCCACTATATATGCATATTGGCACTATAAAGGGGTTTGGCGATAAATATAGAGAAAAATACAACGATGTTATTTAGAAAAAAAAGAAAAAGGACAAGGAGATCGTGAAATATATAAAGCGATAAGACAAATAAAACGAGAAATGTTTATTATCACAATCAAATATTATCAAAGATATGTATTCATAATTGACTATCGATAAAACTACAAACAAATATGAAGTTTGATTTTATTGTAACAGGAAACATGAACGATTTGTTCAGCATTAAAACCAAAAACTAAAAATATTATAATAATAAATCTACAGACTGGCATTTGTATCCATAAATGATGGCATATAACAAGATATGCTCCAAAACATGTCCTGCCTCGAGACTATTTTACACTACGTTGCTAAAAACAACCACCAAGAAGATCTATACTTTCCATAGAAATGGTTGATGCACCATACATAACAACAAGGTATCTGTTACATGTAAGATTAATACAGGGATTTCCATGGGATTACCACCCTCCCCCTTATATATGACCATAACGTACTATGTGATTTTTGACTGAAGCACATTTTCTTAATTCATAAAGATTTACAATTTTTAATATTCAGTGTTTTTCATTTAAAGATTGATCCGGTATCACAGTAAACAAAAGATATCCATAGTGCTATTTTCAAATGTGTCTAATTTTCGATATATAAGGTGATTAATATGTTTATTTCGACAAAATTTGATACATTATTATGAACACAGGGACATGAGAACAAATAACAGGAAGTATGCTTTGACCTATCCTGATGTTTAGGAAATATCTGTAGCCGTTTTAAGAGTTTACAACAACAGTTGGTAAAAATATCAACCCCTCCCATACTAGACCCCATCATTGAGGTGATATTTTTACCGAGTGTGTTGAATTCTCAACTCTTAAAACGTCTAACAATACTCTCTACGCATAAGGTTAGGTCCAAACCTACATCCTGCAACTCGTTCGCAAGTCCCTGTGATTATGAAATGTAGCTGATTCAATGTTTTATACTGTTGTGTGACGCAATCCCTTTGTCTTCCAACAGTGTTAAGGGTTGAAGAGGAAGAGAACGGTAACTATGCTTACGCTAAATTACTTCTTTATAATATTCTCAGAAATGTTGAAAATTAGACATGTTGAAATTCTAGTAATGTATATCTAAGTTAAAAAATATCTAAGGGTTGAGAATATATGATAATGCTCGCGATCAGGACCTTAGTGCTCCGAATGTTTACTGAAGAGCAGAGATATTATAATTCGATGCGAGCAAATTAGCGCTTGTAACCAAACACTTGTTGTTTGATTTGACACTCGTATTCTTATGTTCGTGTATCTAACAGTGAACCACACATAGATAGCACGACATACCATGCATGGACTTGACATTTTAACTTTAAACTATTTTGTACGTATATCATGCAAAGTGATTAAAATAGTTTTGGATGAAATGTAGACTGAAATATACAATATAGAATATTCTAAACACATGTGTGGCCTAATTTTGGATAGTGTGTATACCATACACATATTCGAAGACAATTTTTCTAGTGTGGCATTCAAAATATTTATTCTGTCCATGTATCGAAATGTTTTAACTATCTTAATCTATCATATGAATCAATGTCCTTATAGAAAGGTGTTTAATAAATACATCTGTAATTATATCTACAACGGTAACAAGACACAAATACTCAACAGAAGGTCAGTTGTAATAACTGGATATAACAAAGATGATACAAGATTTTAATTACATCGAATTATCTATACTTCCTTTTAATGATAAAGCATTTTAAAATGTCAAATTAAATATGTCGTAAACAAAACGTAAATATACTTATTTTCTTTTTATTTAAAACATGGAATTAAACAGTCCGCTAGTATATCGTTAAAAAAAGTTAAAGTGTCGGAAGTAATTTAGTTAAACAATTTACCTAACGTAAACAAACGTAAGACCGAGAGGGAGGGCTACAGGCAGGGGAGATCACCTGATATGTTGTTTTTACATCGGCTTCAGAATCACGTCTGTTTTCCTTGTCTAGCTAATACTCTACCATCTGGCTCCAAGCGTCTTCAAAGGAGAACATGGATTAGGTGCTAACTCTAGATTTAACCTTTTAAACAAAACCGTCCGGACCACTCAGTAGGTTTCAGATCAGGGTGGGCTGTTGTTGCTGAATCGTGTATGTTATCTCGGCATCTCAAAACAGTTCACTAACGAAAAATTGATATTCATTCAATACCAACATCATGAGGTTAATTGTGAACTTTTGCTTTCTGAACGATGACGTTGCAGTTTCTGTTTGGTAGGTTAACGTTACTTTTTTTTGCGCTCCGATGGTATTCAATATTATTCAGGTCCTGGTTCAAATGATGATTTTAAAGTGTATATTTTTTTCTCGGGTTTTGATAAATCCATATTCTTTTGATGTGTACCAAGCTTCGACATTTGTCTTTCCGGGTTGGACTTTGGTTAAAATTTAATGTCTTGGAACCTTCGAGGATTTTTTTTCTTTTTATTTATAAACGTCCATGATTGTACATTTTGCTGAAATTTGAGATAGAGGAATACCTCTTCCTTAACCAAGATAAAACGATGTTTTCTAGTTCAGGGTGGCCCGTTCAAGTCTCCTTCCCAAACCAATGTTACGAGTCTGCCATCTATTGACAAGCCAGCTTGCCCGCTCTAGACACAGGGATAATGGTTCCTAATTTGACATCCTGGCTTCCCCGGGTTGGAGAGGATACGTCTATAATACTCTCCTAATTTGACGTCCCGCCGGGAGGGACAGCTTTGTGATAGGTTGACATGATCTTACAACTTTTATAAGGCTCGGTTGCTAAACAGATGATTAGTGGTTTTACATTTCAATCATATACCCTGATATTTACCCTTCTCCGTAGACACTGTACGAAGTTTTATCTGAAGCGCGCATACTGTGACTACACAATCGGTAAACCACGGGTAAACTAAGGGAGACAAAATTAAGGTTATTGTAAGGAAATGAAAATCAAATTTAGAGAAATTTCATACTGTTTTGTGATCTTACAAGGGTGAAAGATGATAACTATTGTTTAGTGTATTTCCTATGACTACAGATTTGGACATATCTCGATTGCATGGCGTCATCTGCCGTAAACCTTGACTGTTGTTGTCGTAAAAGAAACACAGGTGGTTTAAGTACCTGGATGACACTTGACTCAGATCAAGAATACACGTTGCGTATGGTTTGGGATTGGATATTGTCGCAAAGAAGCATACACAATTATCATTTTTAACGGTAAAATGGTTGTTGATGTTGTTGTTGCTGTTGTTGTTGTTGTTGTAAAAATGAAACACCCAAGTCTTGTGACAGAAATCATGAAATTAATTTCGTGGCCAGCATAATGCAGGTAAAACATAGTTGTAGAAACAATGAAATTAATATTTTCATAGTCAGAGACTTACGTTTTTCGATAAAAAAACAGAATTAGCTATTTTATATGCTATTGTCTCAAAAACACGCCCATCGTCATATGTCGTTCAATATAAGCTATTTCGTTTTATAGCATTTTTTCACCATAACGGGATTTATTGTAGAGATTGTGACGCTGTTAGATAAAAACAGTTGTCAAAATGGCATACAGTAGCGATAAATGTGTATGCTAGCTACTCCGGACTGCTGCCGTAAACGAGACAGGAAATTCGATGAACGGTATACCATGTCGTAAAAAATGCACTTTTACATTGGCTACAGACGTTGCCATAAAAATCTGATATACCAATAACTATAAATTTGGGGAGACGTAAATTGTCAATGACATGTTGAATTGCTATAGGCATCGCTAGCTCACTCACGTGCAACTAAGAGTTGTATGAATAATCATTACAACTCTTCAGTACGTAAGACGCAACCTCTCTCACAAATCGCAATTACATATTCAAGCGTGTATCGATTCTCACACATACATACCATGATGAAATCAAGTCGTAATAGAAAACACTGTCAAGGTAGGATTCCTGTTTACAACGAGAAACCATTAAGCCGTAGACAGTCTTAAGCATTAGTGATGTTAGCCCTGAATTGCAATCTGCGCTCGTATTTACAAACGCGAGAAAACAAATCTATTGACACCATGTTATTTTATTGCTCTATGTATTTGTCAAATGGCTATTTTTTATTACATACAAGCAAATAAAGCTACAATCGTAATCTTCTACATTGAGCTAACCAACAATCACGAAAAGTAGTGTCATAAGATATAATAAATGTTATACAACCTTGACCATGTATAGCGAAAGTAAGATGAAGCTTTATTGTTAAAGCTAAAAAAATAATTCACAATGAAAGTATGAGTTTCATATGCAGTTTTGAACTGTTGCTTTTTAGATATAAGCTGCTTGCTCTTAAAGGGGACATAGTGTAGCACGCCGAATTGGCAAATGCAGTTGTAACCTTTTTTCTTATTTTTAGTATATAAGTAGTGTTCAGCAATCAAAAGGAAATTTCAAACCAACTGTGTAATTCTAGAATTCAGAATATATTGGCCAAAGTTTCACTTACGTTTCTTAGCTTATATTAAAAGAATTCCTTAATTTAAGCTTTTTCTCCATTAGAAAGAATTACTGATGTGAAGGAAAATTTCTTTAACTTATTTTTTCTTTAATTCTAATATTGTTTTCCTTAGGTCTTAAGTAAATGGATATTTTTAAGATAACGTTTCTGAAACTATCACTAGGTTTGCTATGAACACGTCTTTTTTTTGGAATCTCACCGAGGGTTCTTTCCTTGATTATACATGTATGTGTAATTAGGGTTATTGACTACTGTATACGTATCCTTATTTTACATATACGAACTTCTTGGTCAATTACAATAACATTTTCCCCAGAATTCGATATCATCACGCTGTGAACTAGTACCAGGAAGATGTTTAAATTTCTTACTACGACAATACAGCCAGTACAACAAACAGAAGACACAATTGATATTTTGATCTTATACTCAGTCGAAATGTGTATGACATTATTGTCAATGCTAGCTAGCTATTACTCCACAATCTAATGGACATGCAAAGACAAATGTGCCTTACAATGTCCCCATCTCCTGAGGACGTACAGCAGTATACACGATCTATTATCTCCAATATAATTATTTCCTTTCATTTACATTTTCATCGTTTCTAATCTTGACTTCTTATTTGGCCGTCTTGCCTTCCGACCTTTTTGATAAACAGCCATATCTTCATCCTAATCTTACACAAGTAATGAGTACAGGAGTAGATCGGGTGGGACTCTGTAAGCGATAACCCCTAATTAGGCCTTTTTTGACCTGGACAAGGACAAGGGATGGGCAGTCGAGCAGGCCAGAACGTGACCGTAAGACTAGCCATGAGTTTGAAGCAAGTGAGAACCCGTCGTCGTTCGTTTTCCGACCTTCATGTCTTAGTTTTCGTTGAAATTACGCTGCTTTCCGTGTAAAAACTTTTTAACCCATATATGTTAACGACATGAAAATTCAACTTTAAAAGAAAAAAAAAGAAAATAGATAAGGTTTATCCTTGAAAATGTCATGAGCTGAAGATTTCGGTCAAATGGAAATTCACTCTTTACAAAAATAGTCTTCAAAAATTTGTCGATTTTATAAAAAAATGTTTTAAACTTTCTTCAACATGACTGCTTAGGGGGAAATCCCGTTTTGGTGGACAAGTATATGAAATTACCAAGATTTTTGTCTACAGACCGGAAATTGTTCGAGAAAGGATTCAGAATTAGATAAGTTTTGCTTCGAGTAATGATACCCATGTACATGGCAAAGCCGGCATGTTATCCATTACCACAGCAGTTCAGCAAAAATATCCTCGTCAGGAAACGGAAATGGGGATTCTAAAGGACAAACTTGATGTCGGTCCGTCAAATTCCGCCTCTACGCCTGCGGCTTTCATAATAAAGGAAGCGTGTTTTGTTAGAGCTCAGAAAAGGCAGCTATTCGCCTAAACTCTCATAATACACTGTGATAATACACAGGAACGGATGCAATCTATTCTTGACGACCTTTCTCGTATGGTATGACGTATCCTTGGGATACCCGCGGC